ACTCGAATAAAAAAAAATTCGGTGACAAAAAAAAAACATTCTGAGCAAAAAGCAAGATGTAAACTGTGTGAAAAATGATGCAATTATTTATAAAAAGTGCTTGAAGACAGAACAAGTTTTCTGCCGATGTACTTTTAGTTGATAAATATTAAAATATTTCACCTCAATATTTTTATATTCAAAATAATCCAGGGAACTTTTCCTTTTGAATTGCAATCACTCATATGTGTACAGAGCATGAACACATTCTGGGAACTTGTGTATTTATAGTAACATTACGAATAATTAATCTCAAGCAATGTCATACATAGTTACGATTCTAGAGTAAATTGAAACGGGAAATGAAGACTCTAAAGTCAAAGGATTCATTATTAAGCAACGAATTGATTGAAGCTGAATATTGATAAAAAGCTTCAGTTATGATATCATATGTTTATTCTATTCGAGTGCTCTTTGATCATTAAAAGAAATAATTTAATGACAGATTATAGGAAGCTATTTATAATTATATTATCAAATGTTATATAATTACTTATTTAATATGTGGTACTCAAGTCTTCCATTATTCTTAACTTGAATGTTCTGAATCTCATCCAACTGTTGTTGCAGTTCTGAGAGCCGCCAGGCATCTGATCCATTCTTAGCTCCATACACTCCTTGTTTCTCAGCATCTACAATGTTATCATAGAACTTTGCATCGTCTTTCATTATGCCACCCATAGAGTTCTTCTGCTCAATCGTAGTTGTCTGAATTTGAAAAATCATATAAATTATACATCACACAATAGTTGTGCTGTAATAATTCAACAGATACAAATGTGAACAATATAATCAGGTTGAATTAAGTTAATTAAAGCTTTGTAACAAAATGATAAGTCTATCTATAATTGAACAAAAAATACCATCATGGTGAATGGTAATTGAAAATGAATATTAATGCAAATACAAAAAACTTTCTTCAACATGGAAGAAAGCAAGTATTACTCTTTCAGGTATGAAAAATAAAAAAAATTAAACTACTTATATCTTTTCAATTCATTAAAATGTGAAATTATTTCAATTTCATGTATAAAATGACAAATCTGTAGAATTTATCTTCTTATTTGAAGAGCATTTATAATTTTATTTCTCGAATAGAGTAAATAAGGTTTATTATGAATGAAAAAAATTAAATAACGGATAACTGAATAGAGTTATTGTGTAAATTTATCATATTTCATCTTCGAGATGAAATACAACCTTCATAAGTTGAAAAAGTATCTTAAATATTGTTAGCATGTTTTTTCACTCAAAGTAAGAAATTCGTTAATTTGACTTTATTCTATTGTCTTCAACTGGGTGTCTCGACATAAAGACGTTAATTTACTAGTAACACTATTGTATAACTAGGTGGTTAATTGTTCCTGTTATCAAAGACTCTGTAGAAATATATGCAACTTGATAATAACTTGACAGACGTTTAGTAAGCATCGTTTTTCTAACGACAGACAGCCCAAACATAATTATTTTCATTAACTCAAGATTACGAGATGTTCCATACTCCTGTACTACTGTTTCGAAATTTAATCTGAAGATCACATCTGAGTGTATATTCAAGTCTACCAGTGTATGTTAGTTCAATATTTACACCCACCATTATAACTGGGTAATCTTTGAGTGTAATACTAAATTGTGAATTCCACTTTTCACTCTCTATTTATTTTACTTCACTAGTGGTTAGAGCTTTGCTAATTTCCTAATGAGAGTAAGGGAAAAATTAAATAAACGTATTTCGCTTGAGGGGATGAAAGCAAGGAGAATGGCATTTTTTATTAAATTTTGCTCAAATAAAAGCAAGAAATTTAGGGACTAGAAATAAGAGAAAAAACCAATACTTTTAGAAGTCTTGAAGTAAAATGCGAGCTTTTTTTTGCGGTAAGTATTAATGTGGTGAGGTCGTAGAACCATGAAAAAAACATGAACAACATTTTTCTTACGGTTACAATCACTGTCTGAAAAATGACCTTAAACTTTGTTGCGACAAGGAATTTTATTTTCAGTCGTGTGAGAAAAAAAGGTTATACCATTTTTGTGTCGAAAAATATCTATGAGTATATCATCTTTTCTTGTTTATTCTCTAAATAAAGTTACCTCGCTAACGTTTGTACGTGCAGTAACGGAATTTTATTTCTACTAACGCTGAAAATAGGTAAATACGGTATATTCTGCTGAGCCATCTTGAAATAAAAACACAAGAGGGCTTCATCACCATACGTTACTTCATAAGATAAAATAAGAGTCTCAAGTTTTAATGATAAATCCTGAAAGTTATGTATCATTAACACGTCGTCTTCGCACTTTTTGCGCTCTCGAAAATCCGGATGAGGTTTCTTTTTAGCATAGTTGGTCTCAGTAAACGGGGCATTTGGATTCTCTGCGTCAAGTGGTTCTGTCAAAGCTCAAGTCATAATGGTGCAGATTAAGATTGAGCGAAAAACTTAAGTAAGTCAGAAATTTTTCCACATTTTTCCACGTTTCCTACATTTTTCACTGTTTCTACGTTTCAGCATGAATTCAGAAATTATTTTTCGTTAAAATTTGTAATAAATATTTGAGATTAAAAGAAATTCTATACCCAGTGAATCTATAGTATTATACCAAACTTGTATTATAAATAAAGATTCACACTTTAATACTTCTTTTATAAATGTTTTGTTTCATCTGTAAAATTAATTATGCATACGTTCTTAAGGTTTTAAGACTGGAAATTAAAAATGAACAGGGTCGTTATTTTTTAATTTACATTTTCTTCTTTTAGAGTGAAATAAAGCGACGTGATAAATGCATTCACCATGACCTTTATTATCACTTTTTTCTTATGTACTACTTCAATTATATTTTATTGGAAAATAACCTGTGAAGTAAACTGATCAATGGATAAATAAATTAGCAAGGTCTACATTTTTCTATAGATACTTGATCAATGGAACAATTATTTACAACTCCAAAAAATTTTCCAATAAAATCTATTTCAATTCTCCGATTTTGAACGATAAAAAAAGTTATTGTAACTTTTACAATAAATAAAAAATTTAATAGTCACAGATTGAAAAACAAAAATTTTACATTCTACATTGTCTCGTATTGCTAGAATTTTAATAAAGTAATCATAAATTTGATGACAAGTTATTCACATTTATTGAAAAAAAATGTAAAAGGTCAATGGTCTTAAATAGAGCTTAGTGATAAATCAACATTAAAAAAAAACAATAACTCCTATAAATGGATCGTCTGATTGAAAAGGGCGCTTTAACAAAACGTTTAGAGGGTCGGAATGTCTACCTTACAATTCGCCAAAGTGCCGATAATCTCATAGCAACTCTCCCCTTCTCAAGTCGTCTACACTGGCTTGTTTCTTTCTACTCCTTGAGCTATTGACTTACTCTCTTCTTTCATATCCAATGAAGTCAATGAATCAGCATGAGTTTTCTTTGTCAGAGTCTGAAAAAATATCATCCAACCATAGCTAAGTTCATTACTCTTACGATTAAATAATTCATTTTTAATAAAAAAAAAAATATATAAATAAATAAATATCGCGATGGCTTTATTATTTATTTCCGTCTACAGTTTCGCTTCTTTTTTTTTTTCCTTCATTATACAGAAAATACGTGAATCGACACTATTTAATCATTTTTTATTAAATTCAGTGAATAGACTTCTGTGATTAATGAAAAGATTCTTTGTTGAGTGAAAAAAGTTCTTATGAAGAATTCAGAATAAATTCAGTAGAATATTATATATATATATATTATTAAATTGAAGAAGATGTACGCTGGTTAATTTTTTGCCGTGGTAACTGTCCACATGATTGATAAAGACTCGCTAGGGTCTGAAGGTTAATTGAGTATTACTCTCCAAACATTCGCTAGATAATGCCATTTCTCGCCTTGATAATTCAAGGTCAGAATTTTTTTATAAAACTTAAAAAATCCTTATCTCCAGAAGAGCATTAATTAGTATAAAACTTTATCAATTGCTCTTAAAGCAAAAATTTCGTGCCAAGTTCATCAGCATTTCGACTTTAAAACCTTTCATTTGTTACTGAAAGCTTTCCATTAAATATCTTTTCAAAAGTAAATTTTTTTTCAAATGCACGTGAATTGATGCAAAAATAAAATATGCCACACTAATGATAAATAAAAAATAAAAGAAATAAGAAATGAATGATAAAATAATAAACAAGTTAATTTTTACTAAAGTGTTCATTTAAAACAATCAATAAAATTATTGAGAAAAAAGGTATAATGCTCTTCGGGTTGAATAGAATAGAAAAGATGATAAAAAATTCAGCGAATGTTTTTCCCTTAATTGCTAATTGCTCTTGAAGCAAATTACGCAATTCAATTTCACCCAAAGGAAATCTTAACCAACGAAATGAAAACATAATCATAAAACTTTGTTGATTAGATTATTAACGTTATCTTGACAAAGTTTTCACTTTTGAAAGTTGCCAACTTGAAACCTTCTACTCTCATAATATCTGTAATTCAGTCCTTTGATGATACTATTGCAAGTAGAGAAATAGACCATAAATTGGTATATAGATTATAACTTAGTAATAGTTATAAACTTCGTAAATAGTTGAAGGATAATATATACATATAAAGATAATCTTCCTTCCTTTGTGCCGGTCTGACTAAAGCGCGTGTCGACTACTGCTAGATCTCAATCTCCATCCTGATCCACTTTGTCTCTTTGAATTTTTCCATCTAGTGGCGTACGTTCCATTATCTCTTTGTAAAACTACACTCCGAAGGTTATGAATCTCTATGTCTGTCAAGCTTTATAGCATGATGGCAATTAGCACGTTTATCGTAAGTCCTGTAGCCTTGTATTAGCCTTGAAATAAGAATTTATGCCAGTGATAATCGTGCGACCCGCCTTTATCGATTTGTTATAGATGTCTTTGTTGGTAATCTAGCTATGTTTATACTGAAAAAAATGCCACTGGCTTACAGAAGAGTGGACTGAGAGCTTCTCCTACCAGCTATTAATCGGTAGTGGTGTTGCACTCATGGCTCTGGTCTTCCTTGCAACTGTAAGCTTTCACTGTTCATCCACTTGGAAATGGCTAATGGGAGTCACCAGACGTGAGGGCGATGATGACGCAGACGAAGATCTCTCCCAACAAAATGCCATAAGGATTAGCCATTCTCTGCCTGATCTCCAGTGTGAGCCGATTACTCATGAATATGTTCAAGAACAGAAAGAAAATAAAAAAGTAAGCAACTTCCTCATAATCTTCATCAATTTGTTACTTAATAACTTTATACATCCTGCAATAAAAAAAATTACTTTCTTTCAGTTAATTAAAAAGAAAATTCAATGTGATGTTTAACAGGTACTTCGTCAAACTACCCTGCCTATTGTCCCCACAAGACATCAAACATTTCAACGTCAATTGTCTCATCGACTTGATCTTCCCAATATCAAGTTCAGCATCTGTAGTCTGGAAAACCGTAGTGACTCAAGTCTTGGACTTATCAAGGTTGACTATAAATAAATATTTCCGACAGTTTTCCAATATGTTACTCAATGAAATACTCCAGAATATTCATCACTAAAAATGTAGACAGCTGTTACGTCCTCTAAATAATTAATAGCCACTTGTATTTTTCGATATAGAATGATAATGTAAATCGGGAGACAGTTGATATCTATTGACAATGTGTCTTCAACGATTTCTTGAAAATTCTCATAGGTAGTCTGAAAACATTGGTGTTATGTAATGTGGATTTATTTTTTTTATTCTCTTTTCCATCTATTGTCAAACATATTTTTCTATTTATATTATAATAAAAAAAATTTCCAATATTTTTAAATCAACATCTCTCATATTTCTTTCTTACTGTGATCGATATAAACCTCGCATACATTTTTTCGATAATTCTATTTATTTTTTTCTCTCTGTTTAAATGTCAAGTTCAACCGTTAGAATCCCTTTAGAATATTGATGGATTAATGAAGATAACAAAATATTATAAATTTACGTAGAAACCTAAATGAATATTATATTAAATGTAGCCCTATATAATTTGTAATTATTTTTTACAATTTTAATGATCCTATAGCTATAATTCCTTAGAATGTGACATAGATACAATTGCATTTACATTCTAATTACATTTTTATCCAGATGTTATCATTAAAATGTTACCTAGTCAATTTGAAATTTTTTAATTACTTATTTGAGCCATAAATTCCCAAATAAATGTAAATGGACAATATGATTCAAGTCTTTACCTTTATGCTTCATGAATTTCTAGCCTGAATTGTATAAGAAAGATCTCACAAGACAAGAGAGTACAGAAAGTTCGAGTACAGCAGAGATGGAAGTTGCTGGCAAACTACACTTCACACTTCGCTATGATAAAGAAATGGAGGGCCTTGTTGTTCGAGTAAGTTAATACATTATTACCAAGTTACTTCGAATGAAAATTATAACAAAGAAATTTGCTATAAATCTTGAAAGTTAAGTTATTATACACTTGAATAATTATGAATTTATATTGATATACTCTCCTTAAAAGATAATGATACGAAGCACGTAACATCAGAATACCTTTTGTAAATATCTTCAACACTTCCATGAACTATTTTACCATTCATCGAGAATTAGGTTCCGGCCTAGATTCATTGTGGATTCGATAAACACCACTCATGCAATCTACATTTCACGTCAAACGTTGCATAAATACTCTCTATTGGCATAAATTAATATATTACAGTCTAAATTTCAAAACAAATAGATAAAGCTACATGGTCATCAAATACTCCAATAATTCAATACTTGATGATAAATATATATATATTACAATGAAAATCATTATTTACAATAATCAGATTAAAATATTTTATCTCCTTCTAAAAATATTTATTTTGATCATCAATACATAACATGTCAGTTTATTGTCGATGGAAATTTTTTTTCGCTATATATTATTTAAAAATTCACTAATATATAAATATTGAATGCATTAATCAATAATAAAATATTGACGTCATTTATTTATTAAAAATAATGATATAACATTATAATTAGCACTGTATATAAATAAAAGATAATTCAGATATATATTCTATAAAAAATCTTTTCAATACAGTTTCCAGTCAAGAATAGACAATAAAAATCAGCTTTTTCTTTGTTTGATGATCTTAGAATGTAATAAAAAGTGGCGTTTTTATCTCAGTTAATTAAAACTTCTTTCCCTCTTTCTTTATCAACAGGTACTCTCAGCTGAAGGATTGCCTATTAAAGATGTCACCGGGAGTAGCGATCCTTATGTTAAGATTTATCTTTTGCCCGATCGAAAGAAGAAATATCAGACGAAAGTTCATCGGAAGAATTTAAATCCTATGTTTAATGAAACTTTCATCTTTAGGTAAAAAAAAAAAAATTATTTAAAAAAAGTAAAGAGAATTCTTGAATAATTTATTTTGATTTCTCAGCGTTCCTTATGATGACTTGAAGGAAAGATATCTGCAATTTTCTGTCTACGATTTTGATAGATTTTCCCGACATGATTTGATTGGACAAGTTGTGTTAAAGGGATTATTGGAGTGTACTGATTTAGAGCAGGAAATCAACTATTCTATGGAAATCCTTTGCGCAACACAGGTAAATATAGTTTTTTTAATTGAACTAATTAATGTAAATGATATAGACATTATTGATTAGTTGAGTTATAATCATCACAATTGAACATTTCATTCACGGATACAAATATCCATTCACAGTAATCAAATACTATAATTATCACAGTATAGCATATAATAATTATAATTTTAATTATAAGTTCGTTACTGAAATTTGATTTAATTACTTATTTAAATTCTAATGAGTCTAGTAATGACTCGTTTATAAATAAATAATATTATTAAACATTAAAGTATTGCTATATTCTAACAAAGTAAACTATAACTAAAACTACCATTGATCCAACTTTTACGTAAATATTTAATTAATTGTCTTACAATTTAGTGATCATGAATATAACTTTGCAGGAAAAAGTAAACTTAGGAGAATTAATGTTGACACTTTGCTATTTGCCGACCGCAGGGCGACTTACTGTGACTGTAATTAAAGCTAGAAATTTGAAAGCTATGGATATTACTGGAAAATCAGGTAACACTTAAGACTTTTATAATTTAAGTAGATTCTTTTTAATTAATTCTTAACCTCATTAATCAATAATTAAAACTGTTAATTATTTCTAGATCCATATGTGAAAATTTATTTATTGTGCCAAGGAAAGAGATTAAAAAAAAAGAAGACGACTGTGAAAAAAAATACTCTCTTTCCAATATATAATGAATCGTTGGTGTTTGATGTACCATCAGACAATATCGAGGACGTGAGTCTTATTGTTAAAGTCATCGATTATGACAGGTAAGTGAAATGCTGATATCAAAATTATGTTATTTAATAACTGAGTCACGTGATGTATACATAAAATAAATTATGATATTGTGATGGTCGAAAAAAAATTCAATCGAATTTTATTAGAGGAAATGGATCACTTTATTAAAGATTCCTGAAAGATAGTCATTGTTTATTGCGGTCAGAATCAGTCCTTTTCATTATTTATTAAACAAACAAGTATTACTGGGTCAACTGTTATTATCTGTTTTAATCTATGTTACTACTATTAAATGATTTCTACCGTTGTTAAAAGTTATAAATTCTACTTTGTTAAAACTTAAATACTTAGCATAATACGAATTTCAAAAATCAGCATGCAGACATGCATATTATTCAAATCTATGACATGATTGTTAATATTTTATACTACTTTTACTATTTGACTATTAAAATCATTTATGAATATTCAATAACAGAAGTGAATTCGTTTTCAAAAACTCACTTTAGTGAGTAAAATAATTGTTTTCATAATAGACTTTATCAAACTAACTTGGAAATCAATGCCTCACTAAATAATTTTTTGTTATTTTAGAATCGGCTCAAATGAATTGATGGGTTGTACAGCGATAGGATCGAGTTTCATAGGTATTGGAAGAGATCACTGGTTAGAGATGTTGGATAATCCGAGAAAACCAGTAGCACAATGGTATCCACTACTTGAAACGGTTGCTGGTCACATTCCAACAGTATCTTCAGAACCTCTTCCTGTAAGCCTCAGTTGCTTGAACAGCAGGTTTGTTAAATCAATATTTTTTCATTTAGTTTGGATTAAACTTCGATTGTATTCTATTTAAATAGAGTAAGATATCGATATTCCATTTATTTAATCACTGTATTTGGATGCATTTTATAAATATCTATTAATAACATTAGGTTTTTGAATAAATATTCTTTCAATTAACTAAATTTTAATCTTTTAGATGAAGTTAACGGGACAATTGCCGCTAATGCAGGGGCTCATAAATTATATTGGACGACATTTTGAAAAATCGTCTTTTCTGTCCTCCTATTGCTTGACAGATATTAAATGCAACCCAATGTCTTAAAGACAAGAAAATAGGTTTTTTGCTTTGACCTAACTCTGGAACCCAACGACAAACATAGAATAATAAACAGGTTAAAATGAACAGGGTGGTTGTATGGCGGTGGCCATGAAACTTGTTGGCCTTAGAAAATTATTTTAAATAATAAAAACATATGAGTTTGGGTTAGGCCACAAATAACAAATCCACGATAATTTTTAATAATGAAGATACTTTAATAAGAGCATAATAAAAGAGACAATATTTTTCAATGGTTGCCTGAAAAATTTGTTCGATATTATTTTCACTTAGTATTATTCAATTTAATAGTGAGATAATGAGTATATGAAATATAAAAATTTCCTCTGACTCATTTATTTTAAATGTCTCGAGCCCCTGAGAGAAATTTCTACGTACAATACGATGCAGTATTATCTTAGTAAATGGAATGGCCTTATTTTTGGAATAGAACGAATAATGAGCAGCGAATGTTATAGGATAAAAAATTGTCGTTAATATGAAAAACAAAAAAAATAGAAATAGCTTTATGTACTCTGTAATGAATAGTTATGTAGTTGATTATTATTACAAATAATAAAACAACAATGTAACAAATTTTTTTTTATTAAATTAGAAGATAAATATAAAAGATATCTGTTGACAGCAGGAGAATCATTAAGTATAAATAATTGATAGCTAGAAAACTGTCTTTCAGACCATCAATGGTTACAACCAGTTTGAAGCTGGAGTTAAAGACAAATGTTTACTCCCTTTGTAACTAAATACTCAGCGTGTTGTTATTAACAACTCAGGAATGATAGATGTTAATTTCCAATTATTTCACCTGAGTAAGTAGTTAATGTTTCCTATATATCAAAAAGCCCTGGTGGCTTCCTTTGTGATAACTGATAAAACTACCAAGTATTTAATCATAAATGACCATTATATGTTCAAATATATACGTACTAGACATGTTATTTTGAAAACAAAAAATACAAATTTAACAAAAAAAAAAAAGAAAATATTTTATCAATGAAAAATATCAATATTCTTAATCATTGCTTTATACATATTCCTATACTGTAGAATACAGAATAAACAATGTAATGACAAAAAGTGATTATCTAACCAAAGAGAAATTAATATTATAATTTGCAAACCATAGTTATGTTCTGAATGTGCAAACTAGACATATCAATGGATAGTTATTTATAGAGGAAATATAATTGTAAGATATACGATAATAAAAATGTGTACAGTACCACTATACAGTTTCTAAACATAAAAGTTATCCTTATTCTATTTTAAATACAGATGAGTACCTCAAACAATAATATAAAAAATTTAGATTTTCTTCCAGTAAAAACAAATACATACTTTTTTAATGAGTACATATCTTCATTGTATGTAGAAGTACAATACTCCGTTGTGACTGTGCAAATGAATAAAGGACTAAAATAAAAATCAGATGTGTCTTTTTGTATTTATCATGTTAACTTAAAAAATTTAATTAATTATCCAGTAGAAGCCATGTCAAATGTATTTTTAATTTATTTTACTATATTACTTTGTTTTTTTTACATATTATTCTACCTTACAGTAAGATACAGCTTGCCCATTACATTATTCTAGTCGAAATATTACATTTAAGCACAAAATAATTGGTAGAGTTTATGTGATAAAATATCAACGATTTAAATTACTAATTTGCATCGTAATCATACTTTCAAGGATGTGACATGTGTGCTTTTAATCATATTTAATTAATAATTATTATGATTTATCGAAAAAACAACTGGTAAATGAAGATAAACTATGAAAATATTTGAGTAAGTTCCATGTTGAATGGTTAATTTATAAAAGCCAGTTTGCAATACTCTATGTGGAAAACGAATCGACTATTTTTCCACAATTCTTCCTTACTATAATTGGCTAATTTTCATTATGCGTATTATTTATTTGGAACAACCTATTAATATTTACCTAATCGAATAACTACTATCGAATACAGTTTATCCGTTTTATTTCATTCTACGTTACAGCGGTAAAAAATCTAAAGCGATATTTATGGTTATTATGTAAAAAAAAAATTTCAAGAAAGACGGTAAAAAAGTTTTCGCGTATTCAATAACGCTTCTTTTGTTGTTTTATCATATTTACTACAACGGAATACAATATTTTGATATCTCTACATTTTATTTCGATTAATGGAAAATAATTAATAAGGTATTTAAAAATTTTTTATTCCACTTAACTTACTGAATTTACGATGCAGAATTATGTAATGTTTATAGCACCGTTTGATAATAATTTATCCATCGTTAACAGCCAATAATGGACATTTTTTTTAAAAAATCGAACCCTAAATAATCCTCAAGGTATGGATTATGGAAAGGTATCATTAATTATATACCAACGAATTAGATAAAACTTTACACAACTTATACATCTTGTATTTCAATTTTTGTATAGTCATGCGGATAAGTAAAATTACTTCACACATAAACATTAATGTGCTTATTCACTGAATATACAAATCTATGGATCCATACATAGATATGGACAATATATACTGTCAACATTCAAGTATGTAGTCATAATTGTAAGAATAATAACTGATGATAATATAGGCGAACTCTCATAGCGTTATATTTAGCGTTATTTAAAATAGCATTATTTATAGTGAAGTTATTAAGTTCGGACAGAGATTGATTTAACTTTTTTTTAGCATTATGGAGGGAATTCACTAACAACTTTGCTTGATAAAATACAGCGCTCGCAAATTTTTTTATAAACAAATATAACAGACTCTTACTTGCGAGAACACACGCTGTTTAAGTTCACAGTAATTCTTCGTTCGAGCTTATGAGCAGTATTAATATATATAATAATATATTTATATTCATATATTTATATATATTTATATATATGTATAATAATCATTCAAGAATCATTTTGACTTGCCATGCGCTATATCAATCACTCAGATTAGCATAAAATGCAATTGGAATGTTAATTACATAAAATAAATTTTGTTTTATCTCATCATACTTATGACTCAATTAAGTACATGAATTACCACTAAATACCAATCAAACTTTTCATCGTTTTCATTCTTACATATTACTTATGAAGCATTAATAAGATTCCCATTAAAATATCTGCTCGTTTATAATAATAATAATAATTTATAATCAATCAAACGATATTTGCGAAAATTTTATCTTGATTATTCAAATAACAATTTCATGCATAGTTTCCCTTGTATTTTCGATAATATAGACATAGTTTTGTTAAGAACAATATAGATATAGTTTGTAATATATTAAACATATGACAGCTAATGTGATCTGCAAATGACTTGTAAAAACTCTTTGCTTTTTTTCATGACTAGCTACGTCTAATGTGCATTAGAAAGAAAAACGTAAATTCGGCGATTGTTACTGGCGCATACTATTGCTCTTATATTATTTTAATAACATAATAAAATAAAATATGAAATAAAAGTTATCTTCTTCCTTATGTGGCCCCTAGACTAGTGATGATAACTTGCATATTTCACGTTCATCAACTTCACATATTCGACGTCACATTCATGATTTTTAAGTTTTTCATTTAAGCGATTATTCAATTATAATACAATACAAAATACGATATTTAGTTGTGTCATGTCATATGATTACAATTTAAGTATCGTTCATATTTTTCATATTACATATTATTCAGACGCACAACATTTATATTTAATAGAAATTTCCATAATAGCAGTAAAATATTGTAGTTATTGCAAAAGCACATGCCGTCCTATATTTGAGACTATTCATCCACATAGATTAAACGATTGTGTACGCCAATTATGTTACAAAGTTTTGTGTGTAATATTTTTATACACTTGTCATTTTAATATATAAATACGGCATTTTTTTTATTTATTGAGGCAATGTGAAAAGGATATATAACATGATTTCATTTCCTTTTCTTCTATTTCATATTTGTTGTTTACTTCATTATTTTAACGCGTAAATTATTTCACCATCAAATAGTTTTCATTTAATTTCGGGTAAATTACGCGTTTATAATTGATTAGTGTTTTTAATTAAACCTAGGTACATTTTATTAATTTATCATTTGTTCTTTTAATTTTTTTTTTGTTAAGGTATACTTCGCATGCGAAAATATCAAGAAATATCCTCACAAAGTTTAAGCTGGACGGCTTTGATGAAATTAGGATTTTTTTAAAGGACGTGATTTTGGAATGCGAGCAAAAGTGGCGCAGATTTATTTTCTGTTATAAATACTCCCTAAGTTTTTAATCCTCCTCTCAATTATTTGTGAATTTTCATCACAATAGCGTGCAAATTTAACTATTCGTACGTGGTGAATCAGCTTAAGGCTGATGCTCTTCCATGAACAGCAATAATATTGGCGAGGAATTATATATAATATTCTAATGCACGCATATCCACATATCAATTTAATAATATTGGGATAATTATCATATTTACACAGTCAATTATAACGTAATTTATTAGCTCTTAATCCACGTACGTAAGTGCATAAAAATAAGTCGCGCGCCGTTTGGCATATTTTTTTTTTAATTCATCTGTAATTTTGCAATTTTGCGATTCTGATTATCAAATAATGTCGCAAAGATGCAATATAGATGAAAAGTTCAATTTTTTTTTTAATTGACTAGCGTACTCTACTACTTATTGATTAGCTTGTGAATAGATAATTTATCAAGCTCTGTAACATTACAAATGCTCTAGGTATAATACTAAGTACCGGACGAAAGTTCATCATTCGCTTTATTTATTAATACTCACAAGCCATAATAATTGAGTAATAAGAGCATTCGATCATAACGCAATCATTATTATTTGAATTACACAATTTTTTCCTATGAATTATAGAAATACAAATGCTTATGGGCTGCTCATTTTATAGTTTCACTAATTTTAAGTATTCTAGTCCAATACTACAATTAATCAAAGTACACTATGAATTTCGCCCCTGTATATGGTAATATAAAACAATTTTAAGTACCATTGTTTTTCCTACTTACACTAAATTCGTCACTACCTCAAATCATGTTTAATTTATTCTTCGGCTTTTACAGCACTTTGTGTTGCGATTTAATTGTTTCAATTTGATAATTATAGTTAGCTGCCAAATATTTTCGTCCGCGATTGAGATTACTCCGAACTATTATCTAATAACGGACGAAAAGGCAACCGTAATTTCAGTAACGTTGTTGAAATTCATGATGCCATCGGTTGAAATCGATGTGGAAAATAACGATTGAGCCATTAGCTAATCCAGCAAGTAAGAATCTAAAAATAAAATATATATTTTAATAAAAATGTCTTTTTTTTATAATAATACTTATCCCTTTCATTACTTACTTTTGATCATGGGAGAGTGCTAAAGAACGTACACTACTCTCACAAGTAGGGAAAGCGTAGAGTAGAGCAAGATTAAATGTTCTCCAGACTTCAACAATTCCTTTGTCTCCGCCAGTCATTAAGTATTCACCATCTCGACTTAATAGAAGACACTAAAAAAGAAGAGATGAATGATCTGTTATATAATTGAATATTACGAATATGCAGCATAATTTATAGAAATATTCCTCATAACTCACCTGGAGGTTATCATTGTGCGATTCATGTCTTAGTCGTTTGCCATTAATAGTAAATGCAGCAATATGCCCACGTTCATAGTTGACTACTATCACACCTTCACGAGACATTGCAATATTTTCCGGTGAATTGAATCCATTCGGTGCTTCTAAAGATCTCAGTAAATCACCAAATGTCGTGTGTACGAGAACCGGACCATCTAAACAATAAATAAATTGTGTAATATTATTACATATATAATGAATTTTAATGAGTACATTTTACATTAAAAATCAGTCATATGATATCTATCCTTTTGTTGTTCTTATAAGATTAAATTAATAAAAAGAACTTACAGTTTGATCCAGAGACTACAAGACCCAGCTCAGCAGAAATAACAACGGCTGAAACAGGCTGCTCGTGACCAGTTAATGTTGCACGAGGTGCTGGTGCTTCGCTCTCACCAACGATTGTTTGTGTTCTGGCATTCCAGTGCCATAAGAGAACTGTACAATCGGCACTGCCGGATGCAATGTAGCAGTCAGATGTGATGTTACACTCACTGCGTGATAAACATGTTACAACGCCGTAATGTCCAAAGACAATCTGAACAATCTTGGCTACAAATAAAGAGAAAGGAATTAGACAAACGAATATCTTAACAACTCGGTGATTAATACTTTCAAGTAGTGAACAATCATTTGTCTTAACAATTGATTACAATATGTTTATTAATGATATATTGAAAAAGAATATTTTATTTACCTGTTTCTGTAGAAAATACTCGGAAACTATTATCCCAGAAGCCACATGCTACAAGGAACCTACTGTCGACCGTTGTAACGAAACAATTGCTTCGGATTTTAAGTTTTTGACTAAAGTTATCTCCCAAATGTCGTCGTAGAGTAGGATTTGAACTATTAGCTGTTTGTGCTGAAACAATAAAATAATAATTAGAAATTTATCATGTTAAACTTGATTGTTATAAAAATTTAACAACTCGATATAAACGTATTACATGTGCTCTTTGAACATTTCTTGAATTGATTCGTTACAATACATAAAAAATTTTTGTATTTAATTAAATTGAAATAATTAAAATTGTAATAAGCTTAACTGACGCTAAGATATGGGTAAAAAATTTTTTACTTACATAAAACTGGATCCATTGATAGTGGTTGATTAATAGCTTGAGCTTGAGGTGTATCAGCATAACTGGGAGACTGAACAGATGCTAATAAAAAAGAAAAGAAAGAAAAGTTAATATTCCGGTTTTTTCTGAAAAGTGAGATATCGATATCAATGAGTATACTAACCAGCATAATTAGTATTCCAACGGTTTACGGCAAACTGTTGACCAGTTGTTACAGTTACAACTGAAGGCAGTGGTAATTGTGGGTAAGTGTTTGCCGATATATGACAGATTGGAGAATTTGATGGAAATTTAATTGTCATACAAATATCATCAGGAATACTGGAGAACATCATTGGAGACTACAAGAAATATTTAGTTTTTAAAAGACATTAAAAAAAAAAAATTTAGTTAGTTTTTGTGTTAGAATAAATTAGTAAATATTTTCATCACAAAAGTAACTGCGTAAAAGCATAATTAATTTACCAAATGCATCGCTGAACTTCGGGGTGGATGTGGCTCCATTAGAAGCTGTGAAGGGGTCTGTCCAAAGTTTCTAATCTGATTCTCTATCGCTTCTTTCATGACAGGATCAGTTATTGTATCTAAGTCCACGCTTCCTTCGTAAGTTAAGTAGTAAAAAACATTAGTAGCTCGCACTGCCTCTGGACCTAAAAAGGAACGATTTTGCATCAGTTAAGCAAAGAATTTCAATAATCCTAGTAGTGATTTATTGGTGCCATTAATAAATTTTTAGCGTTGACACTTCGCTCTAAAGATAAATGACGAAGAAAGTAGTTCCGGATAAAAATTTGCCTTTCCCCATTTCTCATCTCTATTTCCGGCTCTTATTTTTTTTTCATCATCTTCTTCTTCTTCAGTCTACCCACTGCATTATAGAGGGTAAATGTGTTATGTATTATAAAATTGGAACGCATTGTCGCGCTTGCTAAGTTTGCCTAATTGCATAGGACTAAGGAACTCGAGAGGAAGCCAACTAAAAACTAATTCCTTCCATACGAGAGTAAATTCAACAAGACTCCCCCAGGTTTCTGACTGTGACCATCTTCGTAGAACTACCGGATATAGAGGCGCCACCCGCAATTAACATCTGACAAAATTTAATTTGATGCGACTTTTCTGTTGTACTGGTACTCCTGACTGTTTTCGACGCACGATAATGTTTAGTGAATTTTCCGTGTTTATTGTCGTTGATGTCTTCATATTATTGATAAATGTATTTTTACCTCTTTGCTTGTAGCCGAAAATTAAATCAATCCATTGATGGAGTTGACAGGATACAAATTCTGATTCCAAAGCCTAAAAACAGGATTATTTTTAAAGATACTTAAAAAATTTATTGTATTTTTTTTTATAGTGAAAAAAATAAACATACCATTCTATTAATTCGAATAAATTCTTCAGGTGATGATGCCCAAGGCGGAAGTTCAACATCGCCAACAGCACTTCCATCTTCTTGTCTACCAAGACGATAATGATTGCTGTTAACTAGCATTTCAGGCAGGAAGAAAAATTCGGGAATCAGTTCCTGTAGTCAATGACAAAGTACAAATGTTAGACGAGATAAAAAATGGACAAAAAGGTTCTCTCAAGTAACGTAACATTTTATTCATGGTGACTTGAGCCAATGTAGATATTACTCAACGAACCTTAACATCAGATGTGTCGCGTTGACAGTTCTTCCACGAAAGCGCAATTGATGAAAAGAGCCTGTTGGGATGATCAAATTTGCCACCTTGGAGTGGCAAGAACATTGTTGTCATGGGCTCCTATAATAAAAAATAAAATATTAAAAATATTTCTGGGTGTATTTTGAAATTTGTAATTTTTTCATCTTTTAGCTTTTTGGTTTATTATGACTATGTATTGTAATAAACAATATACGATTGTTTAGAGTCAAGACAATTGTTGTATCGACAAGATGACAGGTCTTTTAAAAGAATATGTGAAGATTGACTTTATTAAAGGTATTATCGTTTTTTTCAACCTTGTATCTCTAGGCGATTATTTGTATGAATATTTGTCACATTGTTAAAATTATTTTGACCTCTCGACCAAAATTTATTGTATGACTGAGTATGTAATCATTATAATAGTACACCTGGATAAAAAATTAGTATCTATTTTTATGAGCATGTGGAAAAAAAATTCAATGTTTTCCCTCATATTTTGACTCTCCAAAATTATATAATGTAATGTAAATAAATTTCATCAGAGGAAACAGTACTTTAAAATGAAATCTATGAGACACCGAAGAAGATGAAAAGTGTTTAAGTTTGATAAAAATAATTTCAAGCACAGACTGGAGATATTCGACTGTCTGTGACAGTTGAAGTCAGGAGAATTCTGAAGAAAATGTGTAGTACAAACCAGATGTATATTTAACGGAGTGGCAAGCGTCGTCGACACTCGAGCATTTCAACGCCTTCGAATTAGTGTTAACTCGCTACTAAACGTGTCCTGATAATTTATGATCTGTTAATGGTTCCGTTTCTTACAGTAGTCAAACAATAAGCCAAATAATAACAGTTATTATCAATCGATATTCGATTAGAACTGTAATTTTTAATGATTGAACTTTTTTTCTTGAATTATTCAATTTTTTGAAGAAAAGATGTTGTTAGGAAGAAATTTCTTTTCAGAATAAAAATAATGAAAGGATTTTCTAGGTAGGCAATTGATTATAAAATACATACCACACGAATCAGCCAATGAAGAACGAAAGCAGCAGTAGAGTAATGAGTTCCATAATGAAACGGAGGAATGCTGTCGTGTTCCCAACTTTGGAAACGCTCTTCAAAATAAGCTCTTCGGCTAGGATTAAGTGCTCCAATCGGCTAAAAAAAATAAATTAGCATTTAATCAGATTCAAAATCTATCAAATCAATTTAATCTACTAAAAAATCAAAGAATTAACTACTGAAAGTTGTGACTGTTGAATTATTAAGATAATTTATATTCTCAAAAAGAAATCTTACCTTAGATAAATCTCGATAATTGCTTGGTAGACTGAGATCTAGTTCTTTAGTTTCATAATTAGTGAGAACCCATGGAAAAACTGGATACTGATTCAAGTCATTGTATGTTCGTCCTGCAATGTAGTATTAACTTGTTAATTTTTTACTTTTGAAATCATCATAATTATATTTAGAAGTAAAAAAGAAAAAAATTATTTCCATCGTCTTCAATTTGATAATGAAATGAATTGAAATTTATGGCTTAGGGTTGGTAAAAAAAAGTGTTTACAAAAAATCTTGAGGAATGAAAGCCGAAAGTAAAACTGAGTGTCGTCGAGTGCATTCTATTTTTACGAAAAACTCGTTGAGAGTCTCAATGGGGCGCGGTGCTCCGTTTAGTAGGCACATAACTCAAAGCATGACGGCTAATCGCTCCTGAAATTGTCACTCCAAAGTCTCACTTTCATTCGCTTCTGAGCCACACAAAGCTATTAGGTCTTCAAAACACGAAACACATTAGTAACGGCATCGTTTCATCGCTATACTTTCATTTCTATCAAATGTAAATAAAAATAAATCAATAATTATTAATTCACTACAACTACAAATTTACTTTTTTTTTCTTCAATAAAAAATTCATGTATATATTTCAATTCTTTTTGTTTGAATGATTTTCATTTTTCTTATATTTGTAGAAGACAAAGTCTATTTTTTATCTATCTTAAATGAAATATTGTCATGCAAAAAAAATCACTGCAAAAAATATCCTTGGTACCAACAATTATCGTAAATTAAGTTATATTAATGAGCAGTATAACAACAGTTTTACATCTTAAACATGATTTATCTATCAATAATTATCAATATTAGTGATAATTGGACATTGCAATCAAGTTAATTATAGATCATCAAAAAAAACTTTTGCATAAATAAATGTTTTTTTAAAATGATTTCCTACTAAGGACATTTTTTACTAGAAATTAAAAGAATTCAAATTATTTTTGCAAGATTCAAAATAGATAATTTCTGAAAAAATTTTATTCACAAAATGAAAAGCTTCTGCTGATTAATCTAGGATTTGAATTTGTTGTAAAAAAATGTTTGTAAGACTATATTAGAAGATGATTTACAAAACAAAGATTATAATAAAATTGGCAACGCATGGTCACAATATTGTTATAAATCACAACTTTACGTGATTCAGAGACGACGTAAATATAATAGCAAGACTGTTATGCATCAGAGTGATTATTAATGGTAGCGTCGGCGTGAACGAATGTTTGGGGACTACATCGCGACAGCAGAATGTTTGCGACACACACGAGATAACGCACGTCTTGAAGCCCTCAATTTTACCCTCACAGCTCCCCATGGTGATACAAATGCGTTATAATAAGTGTGTACAACCATCAAGAGAACACACTCATTTTTAATCCGCTGAAAAATAAAAATACAACTATAAAAATACGTAGATGGAAAAATTGTCACAATATTTTCCCTATTTTTTTGAATTTTTTGTGAATTACTGTTATATGTAGAAATATCTGTCTTCCATTATTTAGTGGAAATTTAATACTTTTTCAATTTAATAAAAAGCAAGATCAATGGTTATTTGAAATAGCGTGGGATATACGAGTGCATTTTATCGATCCATCGTTTCTTCAGAGTAATATAATTCACCGTCCGCACCTATATGTGTATAAGATCATCGGCTAGCGATACCATCGCGAGAGAATAAGAATCTGTCGACAGCTGCTAAACGTGTATGAAGTGAGGGTCGTCTATGCTTTTCAAATATACTGTTTTTTTATTTAAGAAATTTTTACGATTCAAGGTACATACTACAGGTACGATATAAATTGTTTCCTAGGATGGTTAATGTATCTGCAAAAAATACCAACTATGTTAAAGCAATTTATTCATTAAATTTAAAATTCTATTTTATTTTTCGAATTGAATCAAAAACTACTGTTACATTTAACTTATTAATTCAATTGACTTTAAATTTCTTTTATTAAAACTGGTGCTAATTAGAAAAAAATTTTAACCTCTCATAAATTAAATTTAAAAAATATTGTATTATTATATTCATGGAAATTTTATCTCCTCAAGATGTTTCTGTGTTTAATTAAAATTAAAGTAAACGTGGGAGGAATCATTTCATACTCCACTATCAGGAATTAAAAGAAAATATCCTGGTTGGATCCATATACAAATAATAAAATCGTGACCGGTTCATCTGCACAACTTTGAGTATCTCCAGCTGAACACTGAAATATAAAGCAAGCATATACAAGAGCAAAAACTGGCGCTCATAGCCTGTAGCTATTTATTCGCACAATTAATATATAAGGCTCGTAAATAGCGCGTTGCCCGCTAGCACCGGCAGTTTGAATTTCGAATAATTACATGTCGGGCCTCATCGACGTCATTAAAAATCGCCCTGCCGCCTTTAGTGTATGACAGAATTATGATTTTACCTTTTAGCCATCAGCCAAAATTATAAAATTAATTACAAATAAAACCAATAAACATAGATTAATTTAAAAAAATATTATTTTTATTTATTTATGTTTGGTATAAAAATTAGAACAAAAATATCAAAGAGAGATATTAAACCATGAAGAAACAAAGAGTAGAGGGCCTTAAAAACAACCAAGTTTCCCTAAGGAGCGGATTACTGACAGAATATAGAGCTATAGGGTAAGGATTATATGGAATGGAGTGAGCATAAGATAGGGTAGAGAAAACCCAAGGCTGATTGAGAACATCCCTAATGCGGTCCGACAGATTTCATTCGTCCGTGTGCAGCCATAAAAAGCCCTACTTCATGGTAATGTCTTTTTCGTACTTCAACCAACGGTTGATCAGAAACCGTAATAATTTCCGGGTTTTCAATGCATTATCTGAATCAACTGTCTCAATTCCACACTGCCACACACTCTTACATGTATATTTTTCTTTTTTTATAGACAGATGTAGAGTATGAATCCATATAAAATAATTCATGAACAGTATTTTATAATAATATTAAAAGAGTTCACTTACCAGCAATTGTATTGAGGAACATTAAATATTCAAAATTAGATATTTCTCGTCGCTGCCACTTTTGCGTCATGTTTGAATTCCTCATCAGCTGCCTTGGTGACATCATTGATGCTCTTCTGATTAATTAAATAAAATTGAAATATTAATAAAAGAATTTATCCAGCTATGCCTAGTAGTGTGAATAAAAATAACTCGATGGTGATCAAAGTGCAATCAAAGAGCAATTATGACAACTAAATTTGGTCCAACGGGTATATATCATGTCGGAAGAAAAAGTGCAGTTTACGTGTACAGGGTTGTAAATTCCTCTTAACTTTATGAACGCGAAAGAGCCTTGGTTAATTCAGGATTTAAGGCGCTCCGTAGCTTTTAATGACTTGGTGCTTGATGTAGAGATAAAAAGTTTACAGAAATGGCATGCGAAGAGCCGGACGCATAAATACAAACGGCATAAAAGTAAAACCACAGGAGTCAAAAAATGCGTTTGTTTAATTTTCAAATTTGAGTTTTCTTCATTTTATGACTATCGTTTTATAGATGTGTAGAGCAATCAGGTGCTATTTTTCAATCATGACCACTTCAATTCTGCAAGGAAACGAGTATTGGTATCGTGTTCGAGGATTATTCATGCTGGGACGTGGGTTATTTTCTCTTTTCCTTTTCCTGTGCTGTCTACTCTCATGATGCTGCTGGAAGTAAGATTATTTTTGTTTGCTGTTTGTGCGGCAGAATCTCCCCCGGATCAGACGTCCAGCTCTCGACCGGCGTATATTTATGACCGTCGTATCTCTCGCCGGTTTACGTAGGAGAGTTTAATGGATGGTCCAGTGCCGCGGAGACGCGAACCTGTGTTCTCGCCGCTTCGCGAACGACTTGCTGAGTCCCCTCTACCTTCATCGTTGCTGATACATGCCAAAGAGACGCAAGGGGATCGAGGCTGGGCAGAACCTTCGCCAAAAGGGACAAAGAAATGGTGGAATGCGTCGAGCGTGTTCACCGACGAAATGGGCCCAAGTGAATTCGTATGTGAGGCGATTCTTCTGCTTTACACAATACGCCCAGGATATATCCCTCAATAGCTTTTGCTTCTCAAACTTACCTAGTCTGTGGAATCCCGTATTTGATGCCAACACCGACCCGCGGTAGCGCCTTGATCACCTTCTTCACCGTCGCCTGGTCCGGGAATGCGAACAGAATCGAAGCTGTTGCAAAAAAGCGTTAGTTTGTAAAGTTAAAAAGTGCCACTAAATATTTTATTATTATTTTTTAAATTGTTTGATCATTAATCATTTTCAATCGTTTCTATTTGATTATTTTATTTGAGTTGACTGGTTATTAATTATTGAGAAGATTTTTGACTCTATTCTGATCAAAGGTTGTAGTTGAGTATTTTATATTGTCCAAATTGTGAATGGCCAGTACTTGTTTTTTGTGCACTTTTTAGATTGAAAAGGAGACTTTGTAGTCCATACAATTCTAAATTTAACACACATAATAAACTCGTCGTGAGAGATTTTAACGAATTAAAACTATACTGTCTGTATGTTTTCTTTTAGTTTCGTTCATTTTTTTTCTTCATTTCATTTTGTTTTTAATAAACGACACGAGATATCCCAGGCAAAGAGTGGCATTCCACTGTTTCACGACAACGCATCGAAAGTCAGAATGAGATTAGAATCTCGTTGAGGACGTTGGGAATTTATCGTTGGACGGTGAAATAATCAGTAGGACAGCAACCTGAACTCAGGTATACGTAACTGTCTTACATCCATTATATACGACAAGGACTAGCTATGTCCTTAAAAATAGAGAAAAAAAATTAATGCATAAATTAATGATAAAAAAAGTTATTTCATCTAATTTAAATTATTGAGAAAATATTTGCAATGTTTCGTTATAATATGCAAATGAAAGCTGCATAGCAAGATTTTTATTCGACAGAGATTTTATGCGTATAGGTCTCTAGAATAATGAATCGATCTCACAAAAAGACATGCCATCATCTGAGATTGATATTTATGATGTAAAAAGCAACTCGCTCACACACCTCGGTGACACTCTTGGCATTCTCGTCGCCTCATTCGGATTAGCCTCTCTCGTATCGTGTGAAATAATGCAGAATGCATTCAGAGCAAGAACAAAGGAATCCCGTGAACGCGAGACCATTTCAACTGAACCGAACTGCAGTCCTTTTTGATCATCCAGTATCAACTCTTCTCACATATATTCCCCATTTTTTCCCCTTTTCAATTTATTTACAATTATACTCACTTCTGCTGGCAAGAAAAATCTCGATCGCCACATTTTGCAGCAAGTATCGGCGTGAAAAAATCGCTCGAATCTCCGAAAAGTACCATTTTCCATGCAAGTGATCACAATACTTGAGAACCTGTAACAAAAATAATTCACTTATTTATTTGTGTTCAATAAAAAATTAAATTGATGGTTAAATAGTAGACTTGTACTGAACATTGACATTCTCCGCAAATGTATCTTTATTTTATTCCAATGTTGATGGTGATGTCATTGTCTATGTATCGATTCCAAGGATAAAGCAAAGAGGTAAAAGAATAAGGGTGCTGGTGTAACAATGTGTGTATAATATCCTGTCTGTGAGACAACATCGCAACCAAACCATAAGTATGTAACCTGGATGCGGTGAAGTGTGATACGATATAGCGAACACGGTTGCCGGTCGCAAGATGGCCGTCATGGTAGGAGGAGCCTCCTGCTGAGTCGAGAATCGATCCCAGGACTTTGGTGGACTTGCGCTCTTGAACAAAGTCAGAGGACCAAGGGTGAGGAGAGGAGCATCATGAAAAGGACCAAGACATGACGGGCTTATTGATGTCGATGTACGTGCGAAAGAAGTCCTAATTACCACCCAGATTTTTAATGAAATGTGTCATTCTTAATTGATAAAGATACATTAATTTAATTTTTTTGCAATCACTCTTGCAAAAAAAATTCATCTTGAAATGATTAAATTTTACCCTGGAGACTTATTTTGTTTTGACTCAATTTTTTCACTAATGAGAAATTGTAATTAAATTCATGAGTTGATATAATAATATGAGCCGAAGGCAACATGTCAAGTCAACTAATCGACAAGTAACAACGAACGTTGGGGTACATCATGAAAGAGTGTCATACGAGAAGCTAAACATGAGTGATGATGTTAGGGATGGTATGTATATCCACATATGCAAGCGCTCGTCAAAATCCAATTCCCCACCAGACAAAGGTTTCAAATCTCAAGAGAATATACAAGTATCTTTCTGTTAGGAGATGACAGTAAATATAAAAAGAGTCAATTACAACAAGAATCCTTCTTTATTAAAAACAAATTTCATTCTCATTTCTAAATCATTTGTATCTATTTTAAAAGTTTATTTATAGTGAAATAAATTTGTGTTGCAAAAATAAATAATTAAAAACCACCCCTTGGATTTATGTGATTATTTAATCTCCAATGGTGTCCCAAATAGATAAGAACTAAGTCATGAATGTTCGAAGATTTAATCTGTTTACGAAGCTGCATTTTCATGCATTAGATAAATCACGTTTTTACCACGAAACTTTTTGACACGGTTATACTCTAAAACCAAATATAATACTCATCACTTAGAATTAAATCAAGTGAAAATGATTTTTCACATTTCCATACAAATGTTTGAAATAATTACAAATTCATCTATTAAGACCACCAGACGTGTCTTAAGCATCTAAATCTCTCGTGAATGGGCTCTAGTTTGGATGTCTAAAGCAATTCATAAATCCGCAAATACCCTAGCCACCAGTCTAAGCATTTATGTCTGATGGGAACTTGAGGGAAAAGCAAAACGAGCATCAGACCACACGCAGTGCAGTTGAGATGCTCGTTGTCAAGTGTCAAGTGGTATACGATTAGTATAGCTCTCCATGCGGCATCTTTTATTTTTTTATCATATATACCAACTCCTATGGATGGTCCTGTGCTGCATCGGGGGTGCGCAACAATGGGCGACCTAATGTAACAACATGTGTCGCTTTCGCAAGAACCCTCACCGTCATGGTCCACAGCTTTCATTGTGCTGATGATCATGCATGTGTGAGTAAACCAGTAGAATTCGATAGAATGGGAAACCACTTAGTAACTGGCGGTGTACAACAAACAGATTAAACGCTGAACAATGATCGAAGTGCTCTCTTACGATTCCATGACTCAATGATATTAGTCTTCAGAACAACTCTGACATGGTAATGGTAACTCTCCAGCAATACTTTTCACAAGAAATGGAAATTTATACTCCAAAACAATATTTATTGTAGGGATAGCTTGTTAATTAACTCATTAGTGAATAAAATAAGTTTTTTATTCACTCTTGGAGATCTACAACCTGAATTGAGTTTGAATTTGATTCAAATGATTTCCTGATAAGTTTCAAGGGTTGAAAAATAAAAGAAAGTTCAAGACAGTCCAAGAATAATTCCAATAATTTTTGGAGTTCAAAAAAAATATTAATCAATTTATTTGCCAATTTAGCTAATTAGTTTAGAAAATTTTTCTCGAATTATGTGGATTAAGAATTACTTTTTTATTTCTAAAAATACCATATAGAAAATGAGTGAAAATTGGTTTGAAAAAGTATTTTGGTAATGATTAAATCTTCCTCTTTCATTAATGTAGCATATTTCTATTGATGTTAGCTCTTAGGTAATATTCAGTGATAAATTGTTTTTATTTCCTAATGCACTCTATTATGAAGCTCCGAAACCTTTTTCTAAAATGATTCTTTCAGATGAATTATATCTAGCATGTGCCAGTTCTCATATTTTTACTACCATTTCTCATACAATAATAAACTATACACGGTAGTTGAAAATATCATTTTGTAAATCACTTTTCTAGTTGATGATGCTTTCACGTCTCTAAAATTCTTAATGATGAACACATGAAAGAAACAGTTTTTATTATTTTGAAATTTTTCCATAAAAAAGAAGAAAGAACAGCTAAATAGGAGGGTTGTATTGTGACATTCTTAATGGCCTGGAACTTTTAGGTGAAATAATATATTAGACGTAAACAACGTCTAGTTAGTTTCTAAGCATTTCCTCTGATTCCTTATACTTAAAACACAATAATTTACCAAGCTTCCGGCAACAGATGCTTCGAAAGATATTTATCCTATCAAATAGGAAGACGAATATAATTTTTAATATATAATAAAAATATTTGTAAATAATTTTGTAGGAGTTATGTTTTTTTTTAGCTCTAGCACGATGATGATGATTTAAGTTATTTTTTCCAACATTATTTACTTGATCCAAGCGGCGAGTACGTCAAAGACGTTTTCTTTTACATCGCAAAGTAGTCTCTTGATGCAGTCAAACGTAAGTATAGAAGCTGGTCTCTGCCGGCTGCCAAGACTCACCGATGAGCCCTGGATTATACTAGGGATTATTCGGAGATGTTCATCCGAGCTGATTTACAAGGCCGACTCGTTGCCTATCGGGTGACCACTCAAGTGGTATTGCCATCCCTGAACTTGAGAGTCTATTGCACAATATAGACCCAACTGATTTTTTTTCAAACCCTCATAGTTTAACGGTTGAAGGGATTTATAATTGCGCACTAACTATTGCTCTTTTCGTTGCTCCAAAATGAAATGAAACATGTATCTTATTATTTTTGTACTAAAAATGATTATAAATCATTAGTAAAATATTTTTCTTTTCAATATGAGTATTTAACATATTGTATTATAGGTGAAATGAAATATTGATGGGAATTTAATAAGTATAATACTAGTGTACAAATAATTCAAAAGATAAACGAATTAAGTTGAAGCAGAATGATGAAAGACTCATTTAGGGGCGCACAGTCAAGTACTTGGGGGTTGATGTAGCAGAGTATTTGACCCCTTAGGCTGGAAGAAGAAGTGTCAGAGTACAGGCGAAGGGTAACGGACATTACGTTTATTCTGCTCATGAATCAAGTTGTATTAGAGCACCGAATGGGAGTCATTGGTTACCAATCTACTTCTGTGCTGTTTGCTAGATTAGATTTTGAGCTTTATTCAATTACTCGTAAGTAAGCAACTACTTTTCTGTAAAGCTTGTGAGAAATAATATTCAAGAAAGTCACATTTATTTGCTTTTCCTTCTAGATTGGAACTTGATGAAAAACAAATATTGTGTGAATAAAAAAATTTTTCAATTAATATTGAACCAGTCTTTAGTATTAATTAACACCATCTCAACTATAATTATCTCGTCATAAAGATTATTGATATATACATTTTACTCTCATAAACTTGCCATCTGATTGCAATGTCCTGCAGAAAGTTAATGTTGTTTATGATTTGATTCCTTTATGTTATAAGCAGGTGATTGCTCGCGTTTCAGTTTGGATACGGGTATGTTTGATAAATGAAATAAGTGATTAATAAAGTATATAATATATAATATGTAAGATTTCTTATAGCTTAATGGGATAAAATGACCAAGTTCAATAGAATAATAAAAAAATTCATTTGAATAAAAAAGAATTTTTTTAATAATCTCGAAAGTCAAAGCTTTCCAGTATTCGAATCAATAATGTCAACATTTATGCACATAAAAATGAATATTTACGATAAAAAAATTTCCTTGAGAAATATTTAAATATTTTCAAGATTGATCAAATGATAAACAATAAAAATACCCATCTATTCACCACAGAAAATTTTTTCTTCAAACTTTTCATGTTGTAAATTTCACAAATAATGAGTATGGGTGATATCTTTTCAATCAATTAAATTGAAGTGCATCTATTAATTCATTCAAAGTCCCTATTGGTCACTTATTGCTATTATTTTATCTGATAAATTTTGCGTAATCTGCAGTACTTTTAGCAAAATAGTGGTAGATTATTGTCCAATAGACAATAAAATATATAGAAAAAGTAAAAAAAAGATCGACTTAAAGTCTCCAGCAGGTAGAGAGAGAATTACATGCATGATACCGGGGCGTGGCGTGATTGCGCAGTCGCCACGTGACTTTATCACCGCGGAGGCGGGACTTGAAAGCGACAAGGAATGCGTTTCTGCGTCTGGACTTGAATCAAGACTTAGGGAAATAGCTTCTGTTGTGGCGTACGTATAATATCTCGTGAGTATCCCGAATTCAGCACCTGTCGAATGGGAATGTGCGTGTAAATATTTCGTTTAGTTAACGTGCACGCTCCAAACAAGAGTTTGCTCGTTGGACTCTAGAACCCACCAGATGAACCATCAATGAGTTAATACACGATTTGAGATAACGAGAAATGGGAAAAGTTGTCAAGATGTTGGTGCCTCCGTATTTTTCGAGTGTCCAGACTGACATGTTGTATCAGATAAACAAATACTATGCTGAGAAAGTACAGACAAGAACTGCCCAAGTGCAGAAGACGATCCGTGATGTTTGCAAAGTAGTGCACGAAATCCTAAAAGAAGTGGAAGTTCAGGAGCCTCGATTTATCTCATCATTAACAGAGTGCAATGGCAGATATGAAGGCTTAGAGGTCATTTCACCTGGTGAATTTGAGGTGGTCCTTTATTTGAACCAAATGGGTGTTTTTAACTTTGTTGATGATGGCACCCTACCGGGTTGCGCGGTGCTCAAGCTGAGCGACGGACGCAAACGTTCCATGTCCTTGTGGGTGGAATTTATCACTGCATCCGGTTATCTTTCAGCTCGTAAGATCCGCTCGAGGTTTCAAACTCTTGTAGCTCAAGCTTGTGACAAATGTGTGTACAGAGATTCAGTCAAAATGATAGCAGACACAACAGAAGTAAAGCTTAGGATTCAAGAGAGATTTGTTGTTCAGATTACACCCGCCTTCAAATGTGGTGGTATCTGGCCGAGGTCTGCAGCTAACTGGCCAATTCCTTGTGGTCCTTGGCCTTATCAAAATCTTGTAGCTGAAGTTAAAACTGAAGGCTTTAATTTGCTATCAAAGGAGAGCGCTATTTTTCAAGGCAAACAGTCAGCGATGGAGGGAGATGCTTGGATTTTGTCTTTTCTAGAAGCTGAGAGCAGATTACTTCAAGGTGGATGTCGCAAAAAATGTCTAGGTATTTTGAAAACCCTAAGAGATCGACATCTTGACTTGCCGGGAAATCCAATTACCAGCTATCACATGAAGACGTTGCTGCTATATGAATGTGAAAAGCATCCTTTAGAGACTGAATGGGATGATGTTTGTCTAGCCAACCGTATGATCGGTATTTTTTTACAACTTATATCCTGTCTTCAGTGTCGCAGATGTCCTCACTACTTCCTTCCCAATCTTGATCTTTTTAAAGAAAAGTCTCGCAACAGTCTTGAAGTTGCAGCTAAACAAGTCTGGCGGTTGACACGAGAGCTACTTACTAATAGCCATGCTCTTGAAAAACTTTAAATCACTAATATTGTATTAAAAAACTTATTTGCTATAAATATCTCATTATTTACATCTTGCTTATGCCAAATTAAAATTTATTTTTATCATTATTATATAAGTAATAATATTTTCGCAAACTTTTGTAATTACTCCAATGGAATGTTTTTGCTTTTAATAATGACTATAAAAAAGTGCGATTGTGATATTTGTAATTTTTTTAATAGTGATCAAAGATATTAGAAGGGTGTGGTTGATAAATCTTATCATGATAATTATATTTACATACAAACATCTAATATAATTATTGAATGTACATATTGTATATGTATAACTTTTTTGAAAAATATCCAATGTTATTGATTAATTTATTTTTTATAGCCAATTATTTATGTTTTAAAATAATTTATAAAGATGGTGTGTAAATAAATACTTTAATGTCTTTCACTTGAATGAATTATTAATTACATTTATGATTCCTGAATTGATTTTCATTAAAAATTATCTTTATAAATAATCTTAAAAATTTTCAAAAGATAAATTATCAACTTTTACGGTTGTATTTAATTCTAATTATTACGTCTGTACTAAAATAAACTTTACAAAATATTTGCGAAATTTTTTACGGAGAAAAATATTGGAAAATTAGTTACTCAATTTACTATCTATTATTGCCTCGTAAATAATAATTGTAATTTTTTTTCACAGTTACAGAAATAAAAAATAAATAATAAAATGATAAAGTTGCTATTACTAGTTTACTTGACTGTTAACAATGATTTTCTATCTGCAATTTATATATTTCATACAAGTTTTGTAGTAATATTTTATTCAGCAACTAGACTTTTAGTTCTTTCTATGTTCAACATAGAACACGATCGATTTCGCGGTGCGCGAATAGGCGGCGCATATTCGACGGGATGAACTTTCCATTGGCTGGAAGGCCAAGGAAGCAGGCGTGGCTAAAACGAGGGGCTGTCAACGCTCACCTGGTTTAACCAGCAAAGGGTGGTCGACAGTGGAGGTGGACCTCACAGTTTGGAATCTGCTTCAGCACCGAGATCCTCGGTCTGGGTCCTCTTCTTCTCACTTAACTCGTGACTGTCACACACGCGAGTTAACGTTTGCCCGAATAATTATAAATCTCACAGAATCTGTTCAACTTGTCAGAATTTTATAAAATAAATTAGTGGATAAACTTAACTCAGTGATAGTGATTAAGAAAATTATTTATCGTTAGTAAAAAGAAGTTTATAAATAATTCTGATGGATGTTTAAGCAAAAGTTGGCGTAATTTTTTTCTCAGGACGAGTTGAAATACGGATTTGTAGAATTCAAGAATGCGGTGATTAAAAAAAACTTCTGAAGCAACATTCCTTGAACGCGAACGTTCCAAGATGTTGGTTCCACCAGATATGCTGGCATCCCATTCCAAGATGGTTTATCAAATTAACAAATACTTTGGCGAGCGTGTGATGACACGTAAAACTCAAGTGGCTAAAACGATTCAAGAAGTCTGTCGAGTTGTTCAAGATGTTCTTAAAGAAGTTGAGGTTCAAGAGCCACGGTTCATTTCATCTCTGACTGACTACAATGGCAGATTTGATGGTTTAGATGTCATCTCCCCTACCGAATTTGAGATAGTCATATATCTCAATCAAATGGGTGTCTTGAATTTCGTTGATGATGGAACACTACCTGGATGTGCAGTGCTAAAACTTAGCGACGGTAGAAAACGTTCCATGTCTCTGTGGGTAGAATTTATCACTGCTTCAGGTTACCTGTCAGCTCGAAAAATTCGTTCGAGGTTTCAAACTCTTGTAGCTCAGGCCTGTGATAAATGTGCCTATCGTGATTCTGTCAAAATGATAGCAGATACAACTGAAGTGAAGCTTCGTATCCGAGAAAGATACATAGTCCAAATTACACCAGCATTTAAATGTGCAGGATTGTGGCCAAGGTCTGCATCACACTGGCCAATTCCACAAATACCTTGGCCACATCCCAATATTGTTGCTGAGGTGAAAGCTGAAGGTTTTGATATGTTGTCCAAGGAATGTATTGGGCTACAAGGCAAGCAATCGGCAATGGAAGGTGATGCTTGGGCACTTTCTTTCATTGATGCTGAAAATAGACTCCTCCAAGGTGCAAGTCGGAGACGATGTCTCAGTATTCTTAAAACTCTGAGAGATCGGCATCTTGATCTACCAGGAAATCCTGTTACTAGCTATCACATGAAGACTTTGTTACTCTACGAATGTGAAAAGCATCCACATGAAACTGAGTGGGATGAAAGTTGTTTAGGAGATCGAATAAATGGAATATTTCTTCAACTAATTTCCTGTCTTCAGTGTCGACGGTGTCCGCACTATTTCCTACCCAACTTGGATCTTTTCAAAGGAAAATCACCGAGTGGGCTGGAAAATGCAGCCAAACAAGTCTGGAGACTTACGCGTGAATTGTTAACTAACACACGAGCTTTAGAAAAACTGTAGTGTTTTTAAAAATTATTTTTTTCAAATGTGAAGATCAATTTATTTGATAAATTAATCAACAGTGCGTAATTTCGTGTAACGAAAATGACTTTTTTTTTACTGTACTGTGTGATTGTGATATGTGCGAGCAACTCGACCAATATATGTTTGAGTCAGTGCCATAACATTATGTATAATGACGTCTGTATGTCAAACCGGCATTCTCTCTTTAAATAATTAATTAAATTATTTTGTTGTGATTAAATCGTTAATAATATTTAATGATGGAAATTTATCGAGAGTTATAAACTGTGTATTTTTCCGTATACTTTTTTAGTTTATTCATTTTCTTTTTTCAAGAAGATGAAGGAGAGAGTGTCGATGGACGACATTGCCATTTTATGTACTAAACTATTTAGAAGAAAATTTATTAAAAAATTATTAGATCTTATATTTATGCATAATTTTCATCACTGCCGCTTTGTATATACACCTAATAATATTTATTAAATTATACCAATGTGTAATATATTTAGTAATATTTATAGATATGATAAATATTACACTATAGTCTACTCGTTTTATTGTTTTGTTTGGACTTTATAATTATCAGTTAAAGTGAATTTATATTTTTTTGTCAATTAATGGATTATATTTATAATGACGGTATTCAAATGTTGCAAAAAATTTTGGATTAGTCGTAAATTTTTGTTCACTTTCACGGCCTGATCGTTAAACACTCAAGTTTTCTTTGATATCTCGAAGAAACAAGTATTAGGCCTCATAAATTTTACAATCTGCTTGTCACTTTTTTACTTCTTTCTTCGCACTGACTCAGCAAACATACTCACACATGTGTATGTGCAACCATAAATGCAATTAAAAAAGTTCTCGTGAATCAGATCTTTATAATTAAGTTGCTATTAGTCATTAAACATCAGAAGATCTTTGAACGAACTCTCTATCATTGCAACAGAAAGCGAATTATTTTTAATTATTCAAATAATTAATTATTATAAATATTAGTAATTTAAAAGTATTTATTTATAGGAAAAAAAGAATTTAAAATACTCAAAATAAGTTTATGTAGTGTAAGTGAAGATAATATAGTGACAATATTTATGACTACTCCAAAAATATTTGCTCCAAAAATGTATAATAGAAAATTGGCTGTTAAAAAATGATAATTAAATATTATAGCATAAAGAGTATCAATAATAATTGTTTTATATTTGCATAGTATCGCATTTATGTGTAAAGAACTTTGTCATTCTAAGTGAAATGTTTACGAATCATTGCTGCGATATCATAAAATAATTTATTTGCACTGAAAACTTGTTTTATTTCAATTCCAATGTATTTTTCACTTTCTTCAAATCAGTTTGTGAATATATAATTCTGCTCCTACGTAAAATATACACAATGTATGTATTAGTGTGCATATGTGGCTATATAACTTGTGTAAAAACCGGTTACTGCAAACGTGTGCTTAGATAAATTTTATCATTCTTCGTTACCATATACATACTATCTACCTATTTTATAGTCATTTACTGCAATTTTCTGACTGAATTGCTTGGTTTCACGTAAAATATTGAGTTTATGGGCTTATGCGTATACATTACACTAAACGGTGTAAAACATTATTCTTGAGTTACTCGTTTCTCGTTTGATGCACCAAACGATGCAGTGAATAAGCTAACACAAGGGGATCTAATTAATTAAAAGTGAATGTGTGGTCTGATGTTTAAACTTTCATCGGAAGCTTGGCATTCACTCAAACGACAATAACTAATAACCTTGTTTACTGTACACTTATCAGACAAATTTCAAACAAATCACTAACCCGTAAGTTAAATTGCATACACATTGAAACAATTTGTTGTATTGCATTTTAGAGTGAAATAGAGATACTTCATGTTTTATGAATAAAATTTCAAAAATGAAAATTTAAAAGCACCAGACATATTTTGGTATTTTTATGATTATTTTGGCAATTTAAATATTTTTTAAATTTTAATTAATTATTAATCACGATTTGCATTGCAAAATTAAAACAGTGAAGTCTATTTTTATATCAATAATTTAAATGAAGTACGCGATTATTTTTATGATTACTATTTTAGAGTCATTATTATAAAATTCTTCACTCTATTGCGGAAATTTTATTTACTTTGTTATCGTCTATTGCGCTACATAAAATTAAAAATTATAATAAAATAAATTAACTTTTAAATTTTTTTAATTATTGAAGTATAATTTTTTTTTATGATAATCAGGGTTAATATTTCGCAGCACTTATTTAATCTTTACTAAAAGTTGAACTAATTAACATTGAACAAATGAAAAATGCATTAAAATGTAAACATTTTTTAATATTATCGCGATATCTCTGATGTGGAGTTGTACATTTTTCGCAGAAATAAAAATTTTTTGGAGATGTGAAATACTCGATCTCACTAGTGGTTGGTGAGATACGAAAGTGGGCCGTGAGTATCCCTAGATATGTAAATTATGGGACCAGTTTTTTCCAACACATATACGCCTTCAAGTTTTATAAAGGATATATCCGCATATCGGAGCCGGTCCCCTCTTTATGGATACATCGAGAGCCCGTTTACAAGTTAACCGGACGACGTGCATTAGTAAAAGATTGGCGAAACAAAAGCCAGGGTAGGTTCCAAAACAAACATTGAAAATTTATGCTGACATGAAATCTCTGAATCGAATTGCAAAATTTAACTCCCGCCACCGGAGCTTGCAATAAAATATTCGAATTTAAATGACAAGATACGGCTATTAAAGCGATCCCAAAATTACTGCATAAAATTATTGATAATTACAGTATCGTAAAAAATTAATAATGATCGTCGTGATAAAAAAAAGCTTATTGAATTAAAGTTTCGATAAATATTATATAAATCGTAAAATAAAATAATTACCATAAACACGGAACAATACTCAAAAAAATAATGAATACATATTTGTATTTAATTATATTATTCCCCATGTGTCTAGAGCACTAGATTATTGCGTTGTTACTTTACTTATTTATTCATTCAGTCGAAACACGACACGTCGCCCTTGCGTTGTCTCTTAATTTTATATTATTGGACTTTCGATGGCGAAGGAACTACATTGAGGTTTGTATAAAATAAAATCAAATAAGACAGAACGATCCTTAAGATGTGGTGCTTGTACAATAAGCATGCATAGTAATGTGATACTATGTAATTTTTTCTTTCATCTTTCTACCACGTTTTCTTTTAATTCTTTTTACTTTCTTGTTCATAATTTTTTTATTCAGTTTACAAATTGCATCCGATCTTTAATTTTTTTCCCACATCTTATTGATAAAATTTTAAATAATGATTCCAACGATATATAAATTTGTAAAATAATTATAACACGGGTATATTTATAATAATTATACAATGTTGATATTGGGTCTCATGTGTTTCAAATAGGCCTTAATCCATAATTTGTGAAAAAAATGACTCGATATAAGTGATAATGAATACTCTAAAGCTTATCATCTGCAGTATACTACATGCCATAACGCCTTTATGAGCAAAACCACTTAAGGTTTTGCAGGCGCGACATTTAGAATTCAAGATGCTGATATGAATCATTGATGAAAAGAGAAAACGCATTAAACCTCATCTTTAGACGCTTTAGTTTGGTGAAGTTATCAACATGTTGAAATTATTTTGCCAAATATGGCTAATATTTTTGCTTCTATTATCAACATTTATGAATATTTTATTCTACATTTGAGACTTTAGGTGCAGAGAAAATATTAGCAAAAGATATAAAAGTGATTTCAAGTGTATAAGAACCTTGTCACAGACATCCGGTGATCTGGTTCATATCCCGCTGTGACCATGCCATGTCTATAAGTACACAATATCGTGCTTTCTTTAACTGACTGAGACACTTAACAAGGTAATGCCGGCACTTTATAAGAAAGAAAAAAAAAGCTACTCGATGACGCCTCTTTTTGCTAAAAAAGAGTATCATTCTCGTGGCACCCGTGCGCGCCGTCGATCCGCCCCGAAAATATACAAATGCTTGGACAAACGTGTCGAAATCCAGCCTACTCAATTAGCTTATTCGAGGTTTGGCTGTGAGTAATTTTTTATGATAGAAATGTAAAAGAGTTACTCTCTATCTCTTTCGTTCATTTATTTCTCATTTATTTCTGTCTCTTTTAACAGTAAAAAATTGCTAAGTATTCTTTTATAGCTACTCTTTTTTTGCTTTTTTTCTTAATTTTTACGTAACTATTTATTCATCTTCGATGTCGTTTTCAACTGTTCGATGAAAATATTATTTATGGAGAAGTTTATAGATATGTGTACTAGAGTGTGTTATCGAAAATTTAATTTATTGCTCTTTTTTATGGGAGCTAAAAAATTTCAGGTAAATTGAAAAAATAATGAGCATCTTAAATAAATTTCGACTAAGTGAGGGGTGATCTTGTAGCGAGGAAAAAATCATTTTTCATTCTGACAAGTAGATGGTGTTATGAAAAATAGATGATACTAAGAGATACAATTTTACTAAAAATCTAACTTTAGATTATTTGAAAGGTTTTTTTAAATGAAAAATTTATTTTCGACACTACTAAAAGAATTCATAAAAAAGAATATTCAATTATAATATTCCAATTAATTAATTACTAAAAATTAAATTACTCATAGAGTTGGAATAATTTAATCGCAAATCATCATGATAATATTTTGAATAAAACCTTTTCAATTTTTGAGAAAATCCGTAAATATATGCAAACACCACTAATAAATCGAATTATCGAATTTGTTTGAACATGTTATCTCCCAGAATAAATTTTCTGTTGTGTGGTGAATCCCTCCAAAAAAAACACATTATACTTTTGATTAAACATAAAATTTTCCACCAAGAAATATAAGTTGAGTCGCGTGCCACTGAATAATCCCGAGATTGTACACGAGAGCGAATCGAAATTTGATTGGTTCCAGGCGGGGGTGGTGGCGTGTGCGGAACCATCATCCGCCCCCGTTGCGTTACAGAGATTTATGTTTTGGTGCTTGTCTAGGAGGGTGGTCGAGTGGCGGCTGTATTACTGAAAGAGACGAAAAGCAGCAGTCATGCCGTGAGCTTTTCTCGAGGGAATCAATGATAGATAGAGCTAGAAAATTGAAAGATCATTAGAAGTGTATAGGAGAGAAAGAGAACACAAGATAATGATCCACAGAACATTGCTCTATTTTCGGTGCTTACAGTCGTCTAAAAAACCGAGTCGAGGGTTACAAGGATAAATGTATCCTTTTCTTAAATTATCACCGCAATTGCTCTACATTTATTTTAATTTTTTTTTCTACTTTCGGCTCCTTTAATGTTCTTTGAAACACAATAATTTTATTCGAATGAAAATCTAGTGATAATTTATTTAATAAATTTTTTGATCATTACTTTTGAAATATAAAGGTGATGTTTCCAAAAGCGGCAGTTACTTAGTATTTTTTTATTGCACGGAAAGAATTATATAAAAAAAGAAATAATCATCATGATGTGTCACCATACATTATATCGAGGCTATTTATAGATAATTAATATAAGTTATGTTCGTATGTATGGCAAACGATCATTGCACCTCTATTATACATCCAAGCGTGTATATGATCGTATTAAAACCATCAAGTAACGTGCTTTTAACAAACATCTACACGCGATTCCCTAATGTTGTCGTCTGTATTAAAGTCAAGACTTTACGAGGTCTTCGACCGACGCCAAGAAACCTGCACCCAACATATGAGTTCGAAGGTGTATAAAATTAATGTAAGCAAGAGGAATCTCTTTGAGGTCCAAATTAAAACAATTTAACTTTTAATTATTATTTTTCTCACCAGACCAACTAACAGCATTAAAGGAAATTAAAAATTTTAATTTCCACCAACTAATAAAACTAATATTACATTAATGAATTTTTTTATCAAATAAATATCATTGTAAGTAATTTAAAGGGGAAAAAATTCGATGACATCTTAAAAGATCATTACTCACTATAACATCTCTTAAATGCAAAATTACACGTAAATTTTAAATTACATGAGACAGGATGAAACATATAAATTACTGAACGATTAAAATGCACGCGTAAACCGTGAACGTGGAATTAAGTATTTCTTTTTTGTGCATAAATTAATTTTG